AGGCCAACATTTGACATTAACACTTGACATTAACAGAATTTTTTCCTAGCTGATGCGTAAAAAGCAGTATTTTAAACAAAGATTGATTCCCTGATTACTAATGAGGTTGAGTTTTTTAAATGTTAATTTTCTCTTTGAATTTCTTCTGTAAATTTTCTTTTTATAATCTTTGCCCATTTTTCTGTTGCGTTGTTTGTTTTATTCCTACAAATTTGAAATATTCCTTTATGCAGGAGATGATCTTATTCATTTTCAGCCACTTTTAGGGAGAGCTGTTAAATATCAGGAATGTTTGTTGGGTTTAACTGGTTGTCTTTTCAGCATCTGGAGAGATGATCAAATGATATTTATGTGACCTATTGATATGAGGCACCTGTAATGTAAGAACTTTAAAAAGCAGAGCAGTTAAATATTTTATGGGCAAGATGAATGTTGCCAGCGTGGGGATTTTCAAAATGTGTGCAGAGGGCAGCCTGCTTAGAACACAGGGCGTGTCTCAGGTGCGAGGCCAGCTTTCGGGGTGGGCCAAAGCCTTTGTGGGGCCTTGGGTGGGGATAAGGAGTTGGAGCTTAACTGTACAGGCAAGATGAAACTACTGCAGAATTTTGAGTAAAAGGTAACTGTTGAATTTATTTATTTTTTAAAATGATATTTAGTTATTCTTAGAGAGAGAGGGGAAGGGAGGGAAAAAGAGAGGGAGAGAAACATTGGTTGCCTCTCACACACACCCTGACTGGGGACCAGGCCCACAACCCAGGCCTGTGCCCTGACCAGGAATCAAACCCCAAATCAAACTGGCAGGCAACCGTTTGTTTTGTATGATGATGGCCTGCCAACTGAGCTACAGCTGTCAGGGCAGTAACTGTAGAATTTAGTGAGATTAAGATGATGCTGTGGTGCAGGAAGAAGAAAATAAAAACAAAGAGGACTTACCTACCCAGGGGTGAGAAGAAAATAGTCTTTTGCTATAATGACTCTAATAAGGAAGATAAGAAAGTAGCTAAACAAACCAATATGAATCTCTGATTAGTTGAGATTTAGAAAGAAGGGCACTTATTCAAGCACAAATACCAGTATATATGTCACAGACTCAGAGGACTGTGTCAGAGGCCTAAAGTGGAAGATAACTTTTGGGTTTCAAATAATGTCTAAGTTGTGCACATTTAATTAGGAAAACAGGAATGCAAATACATAAGGGGTCTTTTCTGTGGCCACATGACATACTATTGATAGATGGCAAAGAGAAAGCATACCTCATCAACTTTTATTTTGCTTCCAGTTGACAATATCCAGGAGAATGATTTTCAGATTGAAGGTGGGGTGTAGAGCAGAACAAATATGATAGCTGGAGGCAGTTCACAATGGGTGAAGAAATTTTGGGAAAGCATCTGTGTGCTCTGGGAGAACTGTATCTTAGGAAACTGTGAGAACTTTTAATTATATCTCTGAATCTCTACTGTTGATCTTGGAGAGAGCTTGGAGAATGCAATTGTGTTTTTTTTTTAAATGTGTGTTTATGTGCTTGTGAGTGTACAAAAGAAATTCCAAATTAAAAAAATGTGAATTTCACAAACTGAAAATCCATGACCTTAATGTCATTTTGGGGCAAGATCCTAGGATAGAATTCAAAAGGGGTGACTTACAGGCCCCTAGAAGAGGAAGGATCATCAGAACTGTATATGGGTCTTGTCAAAAAAGAAAAAAAAGATCGACCACAATGTCTTCATTGATTGACAGGACTGTTAGATCAAGGAGCACTGTTGAATACAAGGAAACACCAGGAGGAAATGAACAAGGGATGTTTAGCCCAGAAGGAAGGCTAAGAGAGAAAATGGCTGACATCAAATATGAGAAGGACCATTACATGAAAGAGGAGTCAGGTATCTGTGGGCTTCTCAAAGGCCAATGGGTAGAGTTACTGGGACCTAGGTTAAGTTTCAGCATAAGGAAGAGATGTCTGACCACTTACAGAATCCAGTGGTGGAACAGGATGCTTCCCAGACAGTGATTTCCCCACCACTGCCAAGTGTGCAAGCAGAAATGGGGCACTTACTTTTTGGGAAATGTCCTGGGAGAAATTACACATTATTGTGTGGAGGATTCTAAAATCCCTTCCAATTTTGAGATTCTGTGGTCCTAAGGCAGTGTAGGTGGAAATGGGAAGGAGTAGGCTGGCAATACAGAGATAGTGTAGCTAACAGGGTGGAAGGAATTGGAAGAAGACAGAAGAAAGGTAAATCATGCAATTAAGAAAAGAAAGTCATGCAGTCATATGGTCTAGAAGAAGAATTCACCATCTCTTTAGCCCCAAAGCCCAGGATGCCAAAGGAGGCCTCAAATCAACAGCTTTCACTGGCTTTTGGGGAGATTGTCAAGGACAAATATGTTAAAATAGAATTTTAATGATGATCAGAAAAGAGGACAGTGTGCCATTTGAGTCCTGCTCCCAGCAGGGTCCAAGTCACAGGACTGCTGAAGAGCACCATGGGCGGAGGGACACGGCCGGTGCTTGGACGGTGCTTGGACGGTGCTTGGACGGTGCTTGGACGGTGCTTGGACGGTGCTTGGGCGCAGGCCTGAGGCCCAGGCCGGAGAAGGAGTTGCAAAACAAGAACAAGAAAGGGGTGGAGAGATGCAAGAGGGAGGAAAGAGGAAGGGAAGCGGAACAGGTATGTTTACTGCAAATGGGCTCCCAGGGGTCTCAGGAGCACCCCTTTCATCTCGTTCTTGGGGAGAAGAAAGCGGGGTACCAGGAGAGTGAGGCCTTAATGCTGGCTGTGCCCCACTTTCCTGAGTGACCTTGTGGATGTGGTTACACCTTTTGGCCTTCTCCCTACTGTCAAACGCAGACATGCTGTTAGCCCAAAAGTGCTCTGGGCTTAACAGAAGAGAATAGCTCCAGAAATGGATGGCATTGTCTGCGTGTGTGCAGAGTGTTCACTTGGGCTTGTTTCTCTATTTTCACTGTTGGGAGAGGGAGAACTGGTAAAAGAGGGGTTGAAAGAAAAAGGTGAGAAGACATTGGAGTACAGTCCCTTGGCTCTGCCTCATCGTCCTAGGGAACTCAAGGGACGGAGGTCTGGCAAAGGGCACGTGCCGACGGCCCCCAGCCTGGCAGGGCATCCCCATCCCAGCGGACATCCTCAGTTTCTGCTGTCCCTTCAACAAATCCCGTTGCAGCATCGAGGGACGAAACGCGAGGCACGCCCCTCCCCCACTAGATGGCACTGAAACGCCTCGTTGTCGATTTTCAAAATGCTGGAAGGAGGAAAAAAGACAAAAAAAATATGGTGGAGGTGCGCTCATTTTGGCCTGCAGGCCCCATTGTACAAAGCAGGGTGCCGGACGCTCTTTTTTTTCTCCTTCCCGGGCGCAGCTCCTTACGAGGCAGTGCGGCACCACGACTTTGGAGTAAGGGTGAAAATAGGGGTGAACATTAGAGTGAAAGAATCTTGGGTTTCAACCTGGGAGGGAGGCTCCCAGCCTTTGCGGCGCTGTCTCACGTGAGCGGTGCGGTGTGGTGAAGTGGCGCCCGCCGCTGCCCACCCGCTCGAGGTCTGGGGTCCCCCACTACCTCTCAGAGCCCCGACAGAGCCGAAATTCAGCCGCCCCCCACAGAAGGCCAAATCCTGCACCCATGTTTCATTGAGTTCCCCACCCCCGCCCTCCTCAAAGCGCGAGCCCCTGAGCGTTTTCAAAATATCTGTTAAGCAACCACCTCTCCCCAGTTACAATTCTCTTCCTCGTGTCTTGAAAGAACCAATTTTCTTTTTTCTTTTCCTTTGGAGGAGGGCGTGTGTCAGAGTGTCTGGCGCGGGCCGGGGCTGCAACAGGGCTGGCTGGGAAGGTAACCCCGCGGACCGCTCGCCCCGGGTGCGAGCGCCCGTAGCTGGCAAGGCAGCGCCGGTGGCTTTCTGGGGAAAACAAAGCTCAAACACAATCCCAGGCACCTGCGACCCAAACCGGGGACGCGGCGAACTTCCTCAGCCTCTCAATGCCGACTCCACAATAAGCAGTCTTGTGTTTAAAGAACTGAGGCCGATTTGAGGAAATTTTCACCACTGGTAAGAGAGAAACAGGAGATGGAGGCAAGATCCCTAAATTTATAATAATGCATGTAAACATGCTACATACCACATATATGTATATGTGCATAAATATGGATGTGGTTGGGCACATACCTATCTAGACACCATTGACTTGCCTGGTCAAAGAATAAGGCTTAGACATTTCGTGCCTGGGAAATGGTGCAGTTTATCTTTAAGGAGGCTAGAAAAATAAGAGATGAGGCTCACGTTGCACGGATGACATCACTAGCTTTTGGCTGCGCGCTCCGTGTTCTCGTCTGTGGGTTTTAGCCAAGGCTGCAGCGCCCGGCGCCCGAGAGAGCGAGCGCGGCAGCGGCTTCCTCTGGCGCCCGCACCCGGGCCAGGCGATCTCCCGAGCCCTCGGGGCGCTGCCTCGGCACTCGCTCCCCAGCACTGGCCGAGACCGCGAGGCCCCGGAGCCGCCGCGGCTACAGGAGGAGGCGGGGAGGGGAAGTGGAGCGACCCAGCCTCCCTCCCCCACCCTCGCCCTATTCACCTCGGCGACCACCGCACGCCGGGAGCCTGATCGTGGGACACGGAGGCCGGGACGCGATTCTCTGCACGCTGCCGAGTGAGCTGGCGTCTCGGCCCTGGGTGGGCTGTGAAGAAAATGGTGCAAATTGAGAGCGGCTGACCGCAGTTGGGCCGAGCAGACGCCGTGCTCGAGCGCCGGGGCTCTCGTGGCAGGGAAAGGGGGCGGGTTGTTTTGAAGGGCCAGGGCCGCTGTTTTACTCGGTGCCTGCGGTATTTTCTTCGCACCTGGGCAGCACGTTCCCGGTGCTATCCGGGAGCCACATGAAGTGAGGCGGTGGCGTCGCTGGAGAGGCGGGTCTGGAGGAGGCCGGGTGGACCCCCAGGAAGAAGACCGCGCTGAGGAGAGCGGCATGATGCTCCTGGGGCTGGCTGCCTGGCGGGCGGCGCGCCGCGGTCGTGCGACCTGTCCATGGTGTTGAAGGCGCCCTGCGCCCAGCTCCTCGAGCCCTGCACCGTGCGCCCTGCCGGGTGCGCCAACCTCCCCGTAGCCCGCCCCTTGCGCCCGCAGCTGCCGCCCAGTTCCCGCAAACCCCGGCCAAGTCTCGTCCGGTAACGCCGCCCGGGTGACCGCCGTCGGCCCGAGGGGAGGCTTGAATGGCGAGGCCAGAGGCAGACGAACCAGGAGCTCGCAGCGGAAGGTCGGCCGAGACCGTGCACCCACGGGGAGCCCGCCTCTGAATGCAACGTGCTGGCCAGACGGAACAAGGGACCTGCTGGTGATCATAGAACGGAGATTTCTAAAAGACCCGACCTAGGAAAAAAGAACATTTCTTTGCTTGCAGACCGGAAGAGGGAGAATCGTTGAGAGGGAGACTTAGGGGAGAGCCTGGGGAGCCGGCCCTGGCATCTAGAGGTTTCCTTCGCTGGCCGGCCGCATCGCGGGTGCTTCCATTCCTTGTCTTTGAGTAGTTCCTCCTGAGAGCCCGTCCCCCGCCCCAAGAAAGCCGTGCGAGTGGTCCCGCCGTCACCCTGCACAGAGAAAGCCCAGCAGCCGCGCCGCAGCCCAGGGCACTTGGTATTTAGTTTCTAGCCGGAGGGCAGCGGTGCCCGAAGCCGGGCTGTGTGCGGACTCGGCCGGTTCGAAGCAGTCGCTTTCTGCGGGGCAGTGAGGGGGCGGGAGGCGGCCTTGCCAGGTTCGCCGCCGCCGGAGGCTGCACCTGCCCCGGAGGATGCCCAGGGGCCCGCCGGAGCCTCTCCGGATCAGAACTTTATAGGCTGCCCGCCCCCATCCCCGCAGTCCCTCCGTTGTGCACTGGCAGGTGGGGGCCGAGGCGGCTCCGCTGCAAGTCCCCCTCCTGTCCCCACCCCCCACCTTGGCTCGGCCACCGGTCGCTTTGTTCCGGGCGCGCGGAGGGAAGGCGAGGCTGCGGCGGATCATGCCCATGGTGTAGCCGCGAAGCGGAGGCATGGCTGCCGGAAGGTTACTGCTCTATACGGGCCTCTCGCTAGCGCTCTGCGCCCTGGGCATGCTGGCCGTGGCCATCTGCTCGGACCACTGGTATGAGACGGACGCCAGGAAGCACAGGGACAGGTGCAAGGCCTTCAACACCCGCCGGATCGACCCTGGCTTCATTTACAACAACAACAACAACTTGCCGCTCCGGGCGAGCCGCTCGCGCCTGGACCGCTGGGAGGGCAAGCTCCTCCGGGCCCGGAATCGCCGGCAGCTCTTCGCCATGAGCCCCGCCGACGAGTGCAGCCGGCAGTACAACTCCACCAACATGGGCCTTTGGAGAAAGTGCCACCGGCAGGGCTTCGACCCTGAGATCGCGGCCCTCATTCGGAAAGGTAAGCACAACCCATGAGGCGTGGCGCTGCGGCGTGCCTGGCCCCAGCTAGGCCCCACAGCCCTCTCCTTCCTAAGCCTGGGCAGGGTCTACCAGGCCTCTCGGTTCCTGGCAGTCAGGTTACCCTGGCTCTACGGAGCCTTGGAGTGCCTTCGAGTGGCTATAACTTCGCCTCCCAATAGCTGGCGACTGAGGCTTACCGCTCTCTACCCCGCCTCTTGTCTTGCGTTTGTCTGATGGTCCAGGATTTTTTTTCTAGACTAATACTTTGATCTGTCTTGAAAAGGAAAGGGATCTGTAGTGTGCTGTTAGCAGAGGAAGCTCTTGAAAAGTGATGTATTGGGATAGACAGACTCCTAGTTTTAATCTTTCATTTTAGATGTTGAACTGATTCATCAAGGGAAGTTGAGGGAAACATCTCACACCGGAGGCCTAACTGATGCCAGCAACATTTGCTAGGTGCCTACACTACCAGGCATGGTCCAGGTACTGGTCCTATCAACATCAGCAAGTCCCAGCTCCTGCCCTATGGCGGCTCAAATCCTGTTGACCAGTCGCACCATGCCGCAATTCTTGATTTCTCCTTTTGAAAAAGTGGTTGACAAAAGTGACTTGTGTGCATGAAATATTGGCAGCGTCCAACAAGCACAGAAAAGTAGTTCTTCAGGGAACACCAGAGTGGGTGCTGCAGAGAAAAAAATACTGTTTCAGAAGACATATACAATATATGAAAAGTGGGGCAAAACAGGAAAAAAACCCTGTATTTGCTAATGATAAAAATTTATTTGATACTTTAGTATGATCACATACATTTTTAAGTCTGCTTATCTGATGCAGTTTGTAAATCTTGCGTGATACATACTTTGGGGACAATCCTGTTTCATTAACCCACTGAAGTATTGTTTGGATGTATGTTGATATTGCTCTTCTATGGTAACTACATCCTGATGCAAGTTTATGTCTTGTTTTTCTCCCCTCAATGTTTCATTCTTTTCAACTATTAAATGGTGGTAGTAAGCTGAAACAGCGTTTATCAGCAGTTTTTGAGGCCAATGTTTAAAACAGTTCTTAATGTCTCTTAATATTATAATGTAGGTTTGATGCTGTTTTTAAATATAACTTGTGAAAACATGTTCTTTGATTTATAAAAAATGTTGAAATGGATCAGAAAAAGTGTTAATAAAAATGTCAATTGTTTAAGAATGACAAGCGGCAGGCATGGTCTAGGTAGCCATTCAGACTTGGGTGAGGTAAGTCCTGAGAGAGAACCCATCTTAACGCGTGTTGGGTAGGTTCTGCAGAATGACTGTGGGTTTTAGCTGGTTTAGTTGTGAGTGTGTTAACATTGTAAACATCACATCTGCTTCATGGTTAGGGACTTATTAGAGCAGTGTGACCCACCTGGAGTGATAAAACTTTGTAAAGATGTATGGGATATTAGAGATTTCCAGAAGAGAGCAACTCGGGTTTGGATTTAGAAGTAGGAAAACAAGAGCAAGCAGAATAGTGTTTGACCCTGTGACTTTATAGCAGTTTTCAGCTTCTCAGATTCATAGAATGTTGTTTAATCCATCAGTTTCTGCTTTCATTAAAATTGGAATGGTAGAAAGTTGAAATGTGAGGAAGAATTCATATTAATAATGACTGATGAACACTGATAGGACTTACTGAAGGAAATTCTTGAATTTCCTGCCTTGAACGCCTCCTGGAACAAGACAGGTATCCTTCCATCTGGTATTGGTTAACCCCACCTAGAAAAAGGGGCGTGGAATTCATTGCTTCTGATGGATGCAATGAACGCTTTGATTCCATGTTGCTCTGCGTGGCAATCCGGCTGGAAAGGTTGACTTGGTCTGTGCACCAGAGGGATTCGTTACCATAGTGACATGTTCTTCCGGTGAAGCTGGAAATACAGTGACAGGGAAAGGGATAGGGGAAGAATGTACAACATTTTGACTTTGTATTGACTGATTTTTAATTGCAGCAGCAGAAAATGGACACGGCACAGCAGGGGATTGAATGCACTGATACCTAGAGTTGGCAGGGCATTGTATTTCACTTCAACTAATGGGAATCCTGTTCCCCATCACCCAAAATACAGCAATCACTGTCAGCACCAGCACCCGCTCACTGTGGCTGTTTCTGTCCGCTTGACATTCTTGTTAGGTGTTATTGAGATAGATGCCATGCCAGCGTTACAAATCTTCAGAGACTTAAGGTCACTATCTTCATTTTTAACCTCAAAATGTAATTTTCGGAAGCCAGATTTTCTTTTCTAAGCAGCTATAGACACATATTGGAAATAAGTGCATCTTCTATTAGTAAAATTCACAGGCCATTCCAGTAACATACGGAATGTAATTTCTAGACTTAATCAGTATTCTTCCTAGATGGGCAGGTTGTAGAAGGAATTTAAAAAAAATTAATATCCCTATATTTAGTTCGCAGGCCACAACTCAGTCCACTGAGCCACACCATCTAGGGCTAATATCCCTATATTTAGATTTAGGCATCATAGGGAAAGATTTTTTTTATCTCGCAGTGTTCATTAGCAGCCTTAAAAGATGTCTTAGGCCTTTGTCTTTCTTTGAAACATCTTAGATTTAAATTCTGGGAAATATGTATTGGGCAAGGGAAAAGGGAAAACAGAGAAAACACTGTTAAAAACCTATTGATATTATGGGAAAGTCAGAGATTTATCTAAATCATCATACAGACCCTAATAACTCAATAACGTGTTAAATTAATGTTCATTACATTAGAAAGTGCTGTTTTTGCCTTTTAGATAAAACAAAACTGCATAATTAATAATAAAACAAAAGTCAAATCTATATTTGATTTGAAGATATAGTCCTTTAGACTCATGTTCTTTCTGAAGTCCAAGTCTTCCGTGCCTTGTTGATGTGACTGTGTCCACAAATACACATTTTTGGTCACTGTGTATTTGTTTGTTTTATTGAACTGTATGTTCCTGGAGGGCAGGAAAGATAATCATTTGTAAAATACCGCCACCAGATGTGTGCTACTTGGGAAATAGCTCATATAAATTAGGTTCACAGAAACGTATCCATCAAGTGCCTTTTCTAATTGTAGGAACACTTGTGTGGAAATCCAAATAAAGGATTAGTCAGAAGGTTGTGATGAAAGAAAAAAACCAAAGAACTAGTGTGGCTCTCAGGGCAAGTTAATATTGTAACAGATGCTACATAATTTAACAAGGAAGTTTTTTTTTTTTGGTGGGTTTTTTTTTTTTTTTTTTTTTTTTTAGCAAAAGCTTTGTTAAGAAATAAAGGAAACAATACTGTTTTTGGATAACCTATGTCATTGAACAGACACAAATCATCCACAATCATTATTTTTCCTATTAGGTTAGATTTTGGTTATTTCCGTGTTGGAGGTAGGATTGGGTAGAGGGTGTAGCAAGGATAGAGTACCCTTGAATTCCCATGTGACTGTATCCATAATCAGGTCCTCTGTCTTCTTGCCTTTCAACCTCACCCATGTCTCCCTAGTAAGTCACTGCAAGCACTGGGGACAGATCAATGACAGAATCAGTTTCTAAAATCCAAGAGACTTCAAGACCTTTAGGAAGAGCAGCTACAGGTAGGATTTTGTTTCAGCGAACATTGACGTTCTTTGATTTGTAGTGAAATGCTATACTGATATGGTTTGAAGTGAGTAGACCTTCAATTGAGATTCTAAGAACTTTTTAAATTGTTTGATAACAGACCTTATAATAGAATTTGACCTATATAGTTTCCATAATGACAGAGTGGTTATCGATAGCCTGAAACTTATTTTGATAAAATATTGTACATACCCACCGATTTATAATGTATTCAGCAAATATTTACTGTGCATGTATTTTGTGATAGGCACACGTCAGTAGGATGAAGGGATGAATAGGACCCAGTGTGTAAAATTTCCATAGTCTGTTAGCGTCACAGAGAATCATTGACAACTGCGGGATGATGAGAGCGACAGCAACAGACACAGAAAAACACAGAGGCGGCAGTGACAGATGGTGCTGGTGGCGGGATGAGGCAAGGTGGGAGGGGCGTGAGGCCAAGTTGCCTCGGAGAAATGAAATCTGAACATGATTTTCCATGGAGTTTGGAGGTGGCTGGAGAGGAAGGGCATTTCAGGCAAAGAGGCCAGCGTGTGCACTGCTGTGGGGTGTGCAGCAGTAGTTTGGCCTCGCGAGTGTTGATTTCTGGGATGGGGGAGGCGGGTAGACCAGGAGCAGAAGGGCAGGCCACTGCCAAGTCCAGGAGCGTGTGTACTCAAGTTCCCTGCAGCTATGCTGCCCTATAGGGTAGCTGCCAGCTACTTGTGGCTATTTAAATTTAAAATAATCAAAATTAAATAAAATTAAAAATTCATTTCCTTAGTCACATCTGTCACATTATAAATGCTCAATGGCCATGTGTGGTTAGTGGCTATCACATCAGAGAGTGCAGATTAGAGAACTCACCCACCATCACAGAAAGTTCTGTTGGACAGTGTGGCGTGGGACCCATAGCCTCTGCAAAGAATAAGCACATACTTTGTTTCAGATGAGGATAATTAAACATGATCACTTGGGCTTAAATTTAAGAATACTATTCTACACTTGAAGAAACTTTGCTGCTTGAATATTTGGGGGGACAAGGTTTTCAATTTATGCTGCTTATATATTTTATTAATTTTCCATCATTAACTCCCAGAATTTTCACATTTCTCTCTTTTTCTGCCCTTTCCCTGTCCCAGCTTCATTACAAGTAACTTGCAAAGTTGGCTTGGTGGGAAAGATTAATAATAATAATAGCCAATCTTGATGCCAAGTACTCTTCTAAGAATTTTACATATATTAGCTAATTTATTTTTTGTAATAATGCTATGAGGTGGGCGTTGTTATTTTTTAATCCCTACTCTTTAACTGAGGAAATGGAGGCACAGAAAGGTCAATGAGGGACTTGCCAAGTCTCACAAGAAGGAAATGAAAGTCCCAGGATTCAAATT